ATAAAGTGCACGCGTACCGACCGAAAATTCAAAGTCGATTTTCTCGAAAACAAAGCTTCAAACGAAAAATTTTTATTCTATATTTCCGACTTCTCTTTTCGCATAGAATCACCCCCTTTCCGTTTGTACCACTAGTTAGCAACCACCCTATATAGTAACTAAGAGATCAATGTAGGAATAAATCAATGTGTAAGAAATTAGAAATAAGAACCCAATGTTCTCCTTGCAATAGGAGATATAAGTCTAAAGTAAAAATAAAATTAAAAAGATATGTTGAAACTGAACATTTAAAAGCTACATTATAATAATATGTAGTATATATAATATTCATGCCAGATTATGAAACACGAAAAAGTAGCAGGCTTAAATAAAAAATTCTGTTTTATTTCATTCAAACAATTAAAATAGGTGTAAGATCAGTATCATATTTCTCACATAAAACATCTCAGCGTGTGAATTAGTAAATACGATAAATTTATGTTACAAACTTCGTCGTTAAATTTTCTTTAAATGCAATGAAAATTGCTCGATAAAATATCATAGAATTCAAGGTGTAATCTTTTATGAAGGTTAATGGAAGATCATGCAAGGAACGTCATAAAATATTTAAAACATTTGCATAGGTATAAAAGACTAGTTTTTAATATCGTTTCTTTGGGAAGAATTTTGCATATTAGCATAAATGTCATTTTTCCTCAATCTTGAACGAAGTCATTTATGCGCAATGAATTAATTGAATAATTGATTCATTTATCTTATCGTTGAAAGCAATACTTTTTTGAATTTATAATTTATTATGACCGCGTTATATTTCGTGATAAGCTGTGTTTCTCATCATCTTCTGATAACTTCAGGCGACTACCATATAATTATCAGTCACTCTACTATTACTTTAGCGTTTATGTCCTTCGAGAAGTATTCACAATGATGTGCACCTGTCGTGTTTTAATAATGCACAAAGTACGTCATGGCGAATAGAAGATTATGTTATTGACATTGCAAAGATATAATAAAAACATAGAAGTTCTAGGAAGCATTTACGTATGTGTGACATCCACGTGGCATAAGATAATGATTAATGACCGAGTGATCATCAATTCTTCATATTTCTATTGGTGAACTTTATACTACAAATCTATTCATTCAATGATATTCATGTCTATTGTATCGATCGATTTAATTCCAAGTCAGGATATAGTATGAATATTTTCTACAAGAATAAAAAAAGAAAGGTTTGAAGATCTTTTACCGTAAATTTAAATCTTTCATAAACTTCAATATCCAAAAAGATATCTTTGTAATCGCATTTATTTTACTCTAATTTCCCACTATAAATAAAAATTTATAATATTAATATAATATCTTAAATGTATCCCCAAAAAAATAAAAATTAAGAATTGTAAATTAATGATGAGTTACATATAAGGCTACTTTTTGCATCAAAATTCAAATTAATATCTGTACTGGCAAATGAAAATTCTTTTTAAAAGAATACATATAGTCGAGAAATCGTGTGATCGCGATATAGTTTCGTATATAATATTTATAGAAGCTATAATTTACTAGAAACTAGAGCTACTCTATACTGTCCAATGAGTTGAGCCAGAATAAGTAAAGACAACCGGTCTCGTGATAGTGAATTATGATCTGACGGAAGGCTTCCTATCATTGCAGAAAATTTGCTCAATTTAGCTTGACAGATATATGATCGTCTCGCTTACGAGATTAATAAAAAAAAAAAAAAAAAAAAAAAGGAAAGAAGGAAAGAAAGAAAGAAAGAAAATTGACAACTTTCTATTTTACATGTATGTCAGAATTGTGAATTGATCCTGATTCAGAATGCAAGAAAATTGCGGTATTATTTCTAAATCGATTATCTTATCATTACTCTCTTTTAGGTGGTCTCGTGAAGTTTGTAGGAACGTATGATAGTGGTATACGATTCACGTTCTCTTTTAAAACATGGTTACGCCTCTTATTGATGCGTAACACGGCCGACCTTTTGGGACGGTGCCAGCCATTTCGTACATATGTATTTCCTGCGAAACGGTCAAGTGGCTAATAGAAAAATGTTTCTCCTGTTCCGCGATGAGACAGCTGAGCAACTATAGCGTTTCTTCCGAAACAAATGAGATCAGTTGTTAAATTCAGTTATATTTCGGTTATGAGAAACTCGTTAAAATTTATGCACATTATAAATATTTTGTACATCCAATTGTAGTATTTATTAATGAAACGAAAATAATTTCACAAGTAACTGAAGCAATTATTGTTCAATATAAATTTTTGTATCGATAAATTAAGGGGCAACGTTGTGTTAACACAACGTATTATTTGTAATTTCTTTTCAGTCAATTTACATTATTAAAATCTAATGGATTCTTATTATGATTGTAAAAACAAATTCCGAGAATTTGCTCAATATTTTGCTGTTAAATATGCAACATTTTCCATTGAGAAATAAAGGTACGTGGAAATATTGTATGTAACGGGACAAAAATCGAAAGTTTTCGAGTAGTTTTATAATTACTAGACACAGTGTACGATACAGTAGACCAGAAGAAAAATATGTTCCACGTAACTCGGTCTAACTCGTAAACTTCCACCGCAATTACACAGCGTTTAAACAGCTGTTAGTTCAGTTCCAGAACTTTCCGTCTAAACCTTTACTTCCGGTTTCATTGTTCTCTGTTATTTTTCCCATACATACCTACCGCGGAATCAATCAACGCGAAACACGTTTGCTGTATTACATCCATTGCAAGGGTATAAATTCCTCCTACCATGGATTACTAAGTTCTAGGTTATAATGCGTTTATTAACTATTAAAAAGGTCGAAAGGACGTATCGGAGTTACACGTTGGTCTTCCCAACCCTCTAGTCAGTCTGATTTCCCGGCTGGCCCGTGGTGGACTCGCGCACTCGTTGCTCTTCAGACTCTTCGGCTTCCCTTGCTTTACCACGATAAAATCCTTAAATTAAATTCTTCATTGGCCACAACTAAGAGTCGACAAATCTCCGCGATCGTATCGTTGCTTAATTTTCGATTCACGGACGAAGTTCGTGGAGAATTTAAAAAATAGGACAATATTCGTTTCTTGGAAGATATGAGTATCTTCTTCATCGCTCGACTGGCCTTCAGCTCCTGGGGAGCAAGATTACGATCCACGGCTCGAGTGATTTTTAAGAAACATCGATACCCGCGTGGTTTCTACTGATTTCAATCGGATTACATTGGATTACATTGAACACATCGAAAGTAACGTTTCCGTAGCTGTAGAAGTTTGTTATCGTCGCTGGTCGATGATATTTTATCCGACGTTCCTTATTAGCTGATTTCGAATCTAGAAGGATTTAGAAATTAAGAAGTTTCTTTCGGAAATATTAATACTTTGAGCATCTTTCGGTTCTCGTTTTGATCCCGGATCTTTGAGCAAATAAATAAGAAACTATTGTGTTTCTTTGATTCGCAGGTGTAGAAACAGCTGCTTCAAAGTTGCGTTAAATTTAACTTCCACTTTGTTACCGTGGTCGGTGCATCGATTGATACTTTCTTTAAAATATCTTGGTTCTTGTTCATTCGTCGTTTTATCGATACATCTGGTATAAAGTCTTCTCTCAATTGTCGAAAATATACAACGTGGTCGTCGAATTTGCTTTCCAATCTTTCCTTTCTCTCTCTCTCTGTTCCGGTTATCATTGGCTGCTTCATGAAGATCTCTTCGATATATATCCAGATGGACTTCGGTTCGTTACGATTTTTGGGAGAGTTGAAAATCGATATCGATACTGGATTCCCCAACCTGAAGAATTCATCTTACAGAAATAATTGCGCTGTAACTGAGCGGTAGAAAAAGAAGGATTGCACGATGGAGTTCGAAACACGCGCATTGATCGAGCTTTGCTTCTCTTCTGGCCCGATCACTAGAGCTAGGTATGTCGAGAGAATTTCTGCAATGTAAGAAAAAGTCTTCCTTTTAATTTTTCCATAAAAAAAAATTTATTTCTATCGTCATTGGATTGTAAATATTTATGTAAACTCATATTTTTACGGATACAGTTGAAAGAATAGGATGCTGCTTTTAACTTGTCAACCTTTGGCGTAAATATAAAATCGATTAAACTTACTATGCGATCATTGTTTAGAGGTCAAAATGACATTATTGAGGAAAAACGTTATCTGTGCTGGCGTTAACGTTAGATTAACATGTTATGAAATCACTGCAGAAGGTTGTCAATGATCGATGAACTTTCAACTCTTTGCACTCTGAGATTCAGTGGCAGGCGAAATACAATAAAGTACATGCAATTGACGATGAATGTCAGTCTATCGTTTGTAGTCGTCTTTAGTTATTACACTTAGAAACTTAAGTATATATTTTTAAAGCGATTAAACGTTATGAGTTTTAATAAACTTTGTCTTAAAAGGTAGTTACAGTATTAAATAGTAATATTGTTAGACTTTTTATTTGGAAGAAAATATTTTGAGTTTAAAAGAATTAGTTTAATCGTCGAATTGATAAATTAATCGTTATGTAATAAGATATCTTTATTATAATTTCTTTTTTAATTATTACACTTAGAAACTGAAGTATATATTTTTAAAGCAATTAAACGTTGTATCTGAAATATAGCTTGTAAGTTTTAATAAAATTTGTCTTAAAAGGTAGTTACAGTATTAAATAGTAGTATTGTTAGATTTTTTATTTGGAAGAAAATATTTTGAGTTTAAAAGAATTAGTTTAATCGTCGAATTGATAAATTAATCGTTATGTAATAAGATATCTTTATTATAATTTTAAAAAATTCATTCTTAGGAAATTAGCGAAAAATATGTCAGGTCCAGGAAGGATATATAAAAAAAAGAAATATTAACAAATAATTAAATAATTAACACCCTGCCAATTGACTATTGATCTTTTCCGCAGTTGCTGAATGGAACATCTTATAAAAATTCTCGACTGAACGAAGCATTGATTGGTTTATCTGTATTTTTCCAGGTCTGCGGGGTCCATAGGAGCACGATCCGCGCCCAGCACGCCTCTTCAAGCAGCTCCTGGTGCGCAACAAGCGGGCCAGCAGTCGATTAGCGGTTCTCAGCTTACAGTAGCCGCTGCCAATAATTCGCAGCCACCAAGGAGCCCGAGCCACGCGGCCTTGAAATGTAACGACAGGTAAGTCCTCGATCTCCAATCAGTTTTTCCTATTCACATCACATATAACAGGGTAGGACAAGGTTATGTAGGTAGCTAAGCTTCACATCTTAACACTTTCACAACAGCTGTGATTTGGACTGTCAGAGATCATGACAGTGTCCAAACCATAGAAAAATTATTGCAAAATGAAACAGGTGTTTGCGGATTGTTAAGGTTGCGAAGAAGGAAGATATGCGAAAATTAAAAAAAAAATGTAAATTTAAAAGGAAACATAACAGAATGCCGCAGGGAGGATAAGAAACTTCTATACGGAAAAAATCGTGCACTAGCCGATAACGAAACAAATAACCCAGTGTCCCGCCGTGAAAGTGTTAAGATTCATTCTTGACTTTTGCATGGAATAATCAGACACAAAATGAATCAGCTGTTTGAAAAATCGAACGGTTGAAAGCTTATAATAAAAATGGCGCATAAAGAGATCAATTTCGTTATCTTGAAAGTTCATCTAATCATTCGTAATAAAAAGAAATATCTCACGGAGATAGTCACACGCGACTTACGTTGCATTTAAATTAAATACCTGTGAGGATATTTACGAATTATTATTTTTTTCATTCTTGCCTTTTACCGGTTTTCTTTCGATTGTGCGACAGCGTGAATGGAGGAGAAATAAATCAACGACCTGAATATTTTAATTGAGATTAAAATTGATGGGGATTCGACCCTAGATTCTTCATTCATCGAATAACCTATTGAGCCAATTGAGTGTTTCCATTCAATTAATTCTTGACTTGATAGGATGCTTTTTCGAAAAAGCCGTTAAACTCCTTCCTTTCTTTGACCTTCGATCTTCCAATTATAAAATTCGTTAACCCTTTATCTTAAGCTTAAATATTCCACGCACCTGTAAATTTTCAGAAAACATACACCAACGATCCAAGTGATTTGTTATTATCAAACAAAGAAAAAATAAAAATTCATAATCCGAATCTATAATTTTTAGTTAGTTAGTTAGCTCTTCTTCCTACGTGTTCCATTCAATCTTTTTAACCCACATTTATGCGAAGGCAAATGGTTGGCCTTGACGAATGGGGTTAAGACAATTATACCAGCTGACCAATTGTGGACCGTGGTTTGTAATATGCTATTGCATAACGTGGCCAAGTGTAGTTAGTTTATTGGAAACGTTTCTGGAAGTCGTCAAACACAGTTAATCCTACTTCCGCAAATGCGAATCAAAATTTATCGACGATGAATTAGTTCTTTATGTTTATTTAATGCGATATGATCGCGCTATGAATAACATTTATTGTCGTGTATAAAGTGCGATAATCTTTATGGTATATAGTCTAAAAACGGCATTCAATCTTTATGTATACCGAATTATCTAATTCGTAATCGATCAAATCAAATATTGGAAACGATACATGGTATACATATATTTTCTGTCAATTTTTGATAGTTGAAACTATTCTATGAGCGTTAAAATCTTTTACTTTTATAGTGAATTAGCTGCCCAAAAACAATTAAACGTAATAATTAAATTACAAAATAATATATATATATTTTGTCAAAATTAAAAAAATGAAATTCTTGCCAATTAATTCTCGAAATAATTGCCAATTGTATATAATTATGTACATAAACGAATCACGTTAGGATAAATAACAACGATAGTTCTGATACTTCTTCTGTCTGTTATGCATTGAATGCAATCAACTTTTACTACATTTCGTACCACGCCGGAAGTAGAACGCTAAAAAGAGCTCTATCTATGAAGAGAAACTAATTGTTTTCGCGATCGTCTAGGCTTAACGTAGATTTCCAGGAATTGTTAGTTCCTCTAGATAACGTATCACGAGATATCGAGACACCTGTTCACATAAGAACGAAGTGTGAAAAGCAATACGTTATTTCTGTCACACCTGCTTGATAACAATTTCGAATGAAATCGCTGCTATAATCGTTCTACGTTTTCGCAAGAAAAAAGTTTCTAGTTTGATAGAACTGCTATAACGTTTGCCTTTAAGCGCAATTCTTTATGGTACTTTTTAGTACCTTTTTGCGCTTTTATAGTAGTCATAGACACAAATCAAAATGTCATAATCTATAATCTTGATTTCATAGAATATCTACGAATTATCTACGTCTATAATTTTCATTTTCATTTATAATTCAAAATGGCATATGAACAATATATATGTAAGATTATATGTACACATATGTATACATATACAATAATATATTATAGGAAATAATGCTTTATAGAGATATGATTATGATGAAAGACAATACAAAATTAATATTGAAAATTAATATTGATATTACATAGAAATAAGAAGTATATTAAAATAAATATTAATACAAGATGTGTTAAAATAGTAAATATTAATGGAGCAAATATTTTCATAGGCCACCAAGTGTCCTAAAACTTCGTAGAACTGATATTATTTGTAAAAAGGGAATATTTAGATTATATTTCTGCCAACTTACTACGTTACTTATCTTGAAAATTCTTAACGTAATGTAAGTGTTAGTGGAATACATACTTATACGATTAAGATATGTAATTCCTTTTATTAAAAAATCTGATATGGATTAAATATTCTCTTAGAATTCAACTAGTTGTATTTATTAGTCAGCTAAAAATATTTATTAAGAATCTTCAATTATTTCATATATAGACTCGCATAGTTGGTATTAAAATTTGTAAGTATAAATATTTCTTGCTACAAAAAGAAATAAAGGTGTTATTTCCTATCTTTCATTTTCAATCTTCTTTTAAATCTTTATATAATATCTTTATATAATATCTTTCATTTAAATTTAATTTATTCCTTGGTTTTAAATGGATATAATAATACAAAATTAATACAGTAAAAAGACAAACAATATTAAATTTGCAAATTTTTTTGTTAAAAATAAATGAATGATATTTCTGCGCATTTAAGTGTAAAATTGTTCGATATAAAAGAAGGTCAAAGTAAGATATTCAAAAAAGGTAAAAAAGAGAGAACATTATACGTAACTTATTTACTTCTCTGTTTTTAGATTCTCTGTACGTTGAAATTTGTTATAGAAATGATATTCTATCTCGTCACTTGTTTACGTACTTGTAGATCTTACAAAATCTCATTGCATGGCGAATAAATAAAAATAATTATATATACAATGAAATAGTCAAAATCCAACATTAATTATCATCGTACGTAATATTTAAATATTAATGTTTATTTTACTATTTCATATCATATATCTTATACCTTGCTACTCATACATTTTATGACAATAAAATCACGAAGAATTTGAACAATGGTTATCGAACAATATATATACGAATAATTATATAATGAAAGACACAAGGTTTTTAATATTCATTAAGATATAAGTGTTGATATAGTTACGGGAAATTTAAACAAAACAAAAAAGTACAAAAATGCCTGTAACAAAATATTCCAAGTAAAACATTAAAGCAGTGTATAAAATAAAATTCCAGTGCAATCGTATTTTTTATAAGAAAATAATTCAAAAAATCGTTATTAACATACGCAATTTTTCGTTAAAACAATAATGTCATTCAAAGATAAAAATTGAAGTACTGTAGCAGATTTAATTACGTTCATTAAAATATGAATTTACATAAAAATATTATCTAATTATCATATTATCTAATTTTCAATCTGTTTATCCCATTATTCTGTATCTTATATTTTGTTGGTAACGAAGACGAACAGCGAGGAGTATTCGTTACATATCATCGGATGATCATCGAGTTATTAATAAGCAACGAGTTATTTTCACGTTTAGAAATATTTTAAGAGACGTCTGTCTATTCCTATCGCCACTATTATGTATCATTTCGTGTCATTGATAGGATACAAAAAATTGTATTTACGCTGAAGTATCCCTCAGAAACATCCGGTGGTTTATCAATAAAAAATGAACTTTAACTCACTGAAATTTTCTTAGTCTACAGTCATGTACGAAGAAAAAAGCCAGAGATATTTCGTCACGTATTATCAATATCAAGCTTCTGCTCGATAACACCACGATATATCCTGCATTCGCAAGTCTAATACCGTACGATACGCGACACGTTTGCTAAACGATCGATACACGGCGACCGTGATCGTTGGTCAAATTCTTACGCTGTTTCCTGTGTTCACCATGACGCGAGCAAAGAAGAAACTAACGAGAAGCCAAGAAGAAACGAACAAAGATTGAACAAGATACGGAAAACGAGTAGAAGAGAAATATAAAATAAACGGCGAAGAAACAGAAGTGTGATCGAATGTTGGAAAATGTTTGCACGTGGTTCTAGTGGTATTTTAAAAATCCACAGTCGTCGTAGTGTCGTCGGTTCCTTCCTCGAGTCGTTATAAGCTCTGTTTGTAAAAGATCTTTTACTTCGCGTGCTCTCCTTTCAAAAATATTTTTTTCTTTGTCGTCGTATTGGAATAAAGGAGGGAATCTTATTCACACTGAATACCGATCGCCGGATATGAACATCCCTGGATAGCAACGGCTAAAACGACATAAAATATTCTCTAGCGAATTCAATTACCAGTATCGCATCCCCGATCGTCTTCGATCGTCGCTCGACCTTAATTTACATTAAGCCAACTGGTAGCGGGACGCAATTAACGATCGAAATAATTCCTTGGAGCGGTTGCGCTGACGAATTAATGCCAGTTCCGTAGAAGGTGGCTAACAGTTCGTTTCATCGAATTGTCAATCGTATGGTGTACCGCATAAACTGGAACACTTTCAAAGAGAAAGATCGTTTCGGTTGCTAACAGATTTGCAGAGTCTTGGTTTTTTCTTTTTCTAAGATACAGTTTATCTGTCAGATCTGTCACCATGGTTTTTCGATCGAATTCCAAGTCTAATATATTCGAATGTGACGTCTGGAGCAATGATATTTGGAGCCCGAAGATTCGGAAAAGAAGGTGCGACTATATAATAATCACATATAATAATCAAATCGGTTGTGGATGTTCACGCATCTATGGGGAACTTAGGTACAAGGTATCTGAGAAATCATAGTACAATCGGCAAGGGGCGATTCTATGTGAAAAAAAGCTCGGAAATGTAGAACAAAATTTGAGAGTCTTAAGGCTTTCACAGCCTGCTGGATTATTCTTATTCACACTATTACGCTTAGAGCAAAAGAAGGGAACTCTTTTTCCTCTGGACACGGCTCTTTTCTGCAAGACCCGAATAGTGTTAGACAAAACAGTGTTAAACGTATTGGCATTAGTGTAATAGTGCGAATAGAACAAAATTGCTTGATGCCTCGTATTCGAGGAAATCGAATTGAGAAATTTGTTAACCGGAACTTGGCTAATTTCAGACGGGGCAGGAGTGAGTAATTGACATAATAATAACAACAAGTCGAAAATGCAGAATAGGGTTTGTTCGTATGACGTTTTATTCTGTAAAAAAATTGGGAAATTCGTCAAATAGATGTATAGCGTTACAGAACAGTTTCAAACCTTATTTTCTCGAAAACCCAGCTTTTTTTTACTTATTCTGCTATGTAGAATGATTTCTTGCTAATCGTTTATTTAATGAAGCGTCGTGTGAAGAAATGTTAGTCTGTGTATAAAATTTCTTTTTTCACGTACGAGTCGAAAATGCAGAAAATTATCAGGCGCAAGACAAATCTCTTATTCGAATTCCACTTCTCTAGTCGAGCTTGTACAAATATGGATCTGTTGTAACATCTGTAGTGTTATAATGATTTAAAATAAGAACGATCGATCATGGTGACGCTATGGATGACGAATTGCATAGGAATCGACGTCATTGAGAAAGTTTGTTTCTTTAATTCTCGAGATGAGAGGTTTCGGTTTGTGGATTCGAGCGTGATTTATTTTTCATTTCCATTAATTCTATTTGAGTTTTGGCATGTTGTTATGACATGTTGTATATAATACGTAATAGGGTGGTCTAGAATTATAAGCGGGAATGTACGCGGTAAGTGAAACTCATGGAACAAAATAGAGATATTCTAAATATTAAAGAAATAGGATTCTATTACAACGAAATGTTTATACTTTGGAAATTCTTTATTAATTTTTATAATTCTCCGCAGTTTCAATTTTTCTCTGTGAATTACGTCAGATTTGTACATTTAAAATTCATGAATTCGCATTCAGTCATAGTCAGAAGTCTTTATATATATATTTATATACGTAAATAAGTTTTTTAATATTTCATATGGCATCAATATCGAATGACGTGACATTTAAAAATTTACATTTTCTACGATGCAATATTTCTTTATTTCAAAAACAAAGAAACTAATCGACAAAAATAACAGAAAGTTCCCATTTCTTTGTAAAAGAAAGAGATTAGAACGCATTGGAGTTTACCTACAAACTTCCGTGAAAAATCTTAAATCTCTTAACTTGTTGATAACAATGAAGAATATTAAACTTGAATTTATATATTATAAGACTCTTAACTTAATTGAAGAATACCGAAACACAGATAATTGTTGCTCGAAAGCTAAATTATAGTTGTAGTGCTCCACGGTAGTGTTTTGAACTTAAATGCGTAATAATCGATATAATATGTTAACAATAATTAAACACATGTTTTTACACATCATTGATCTTTGTGTTGCACACAAAAAGACACGTAGACTTTACACAGACATATCATAAAAACAGACTGTAGACTTTAAGCTCTTACGTTATATTTAAAGCTGGAAAAATGCACAGACTGCATACAATATACAAAAATATATAAAATATCTAAAGTATAGTACACTATGTAGGTAACATCGCTGAAGTAGAGTGTACGTTCAAGTATTAAGTTCCCACTTAGATATTATTCCTCTAGTTCTATATGCAAAAATATAAAATTGCACATAAAAATCTTCAGTTTGATTTAAACGCAAAAAGTAGATAAAATACTACTCTAACGTTTCGGTATCAAATTTTAGGTGTATTTATCATTTCACGTGTTAATCAAATATATCGTCTATAAATCACTGATTTGTTTATCAGACTACATCAAAACTGTACTTTTCGCTATCTAAAAGATTTTAAGATCTAGAAGATGTAGAAAGTTCAGTTTTTTATTAGGATCAAGGATAACTGATTATTCGTATCTTTCAGAAAAGAGTTACCATCTGTTTATTCTTATTTATGAACATTTACTTTATCGTGTCCACACTGATTTATTAGATTAATTAATTTATTCTGTAATTAACAAATTTCTATCTCTTTTTTTTTCAGTCATCTTTCCAAACCGCTCAGTAGAAGTACACCATCAATGGCAGCTGGTGGTGTTGTGCAGACTCCAGGGAAGGTTAGTAGATCTTCGTCCACATCGTCGCCAACGACTACCAGCAGCGCGAGACAGAAGAAATTCCACAGGCATTTCTCTCAGGTAATTCATAAGAGTTTCGCTCATTCTCATTGATGTCTCACATACACGACGCTACTTTCTTGAACTAGAACACCGTTGAACGATGAAATTTACGATATTATTTTTTATCTATAGATCTTACGTGAATGTTTACTTTAATTTGTTGTTTACTATAAATCGACAAGGATAATCTCCCGGAATCGCAACTAAAATCTTATCGCTTTATCGATAATAAATTTATACTTTAATTTTCTTTAAGTAAATAAAGGAAATAAAAATTTTCGCGTTAATTATCAAACTAATGATAAATACAACGATAAATCCCACTTGCTTTTCATGTTTGATGCTTTGAATTGTCATTATAAAATAATTTCTGTTTCATAAACTTCATATTAATAACGAATAATAATAGATTTATTTTATATAAATCATAATGAAATAATCTCGTGAGAAAAATACGCGAAGTTGGGATTAACTATTTGGGTCAAAACTCATAATTGGCGATGACAATCACATTTTTACTTAGTTTCTTTCGCAATCGACATATTCTGATCTTCTTTTAAGAAAACTTGATAAATTGTTTCTCGATACGATTCCGGACGTAACATATTCGTTGCTTATTATATGCAAATCATGATATTATATTATTTGATATAAAAGCTGGAAATTCTTGGAAGGTTTTGTAGTTACGAGACGTAGCGTACGACGCTTAGCCATTTTCATGCCTTACTCTCAATATAAAACTTGACCCAGATCGGTAATCCATTTCGAAATTCCACGCCTGTCGATCGATCTACATCTATCAGCAACTATATTCCAACAAGACGAATCAGTGAGGGTAAACAAAACGTAAATGCCGAGACTACAGCTATTTGGTGCCTACTAGTGACATTCGTGTATCACCATAATCGCGTTTTGTTTACCTTTCCTGACTCTTCTCGTTGGGTAGAGTATGTATAGAAAATCTAATCTCGATCTACTATTCGATTCAGGTTGCTGCGGATGAACGGGTATTAAACTACTACAGTTGCGCGCTGGTAGGCGACATCTTGTTGCAAGGACACCTGTACATTACACCAAATTATTTCGCGTTCTATAGTAACGTGTTCGGCTATGTAACGAAGCTTTTGATACCTACAGTTTCCGTGTTGAAGATCAGTAAAGAAAAGACAGCACGAATCATTCCAAACGCTGTGGCAATCGCCACCGAAGAGGAGAGGCACGTGTTCTGTTCTCTTCTATCCAGAGACTCGACCTTCAAGTTGATGAAACAGGTTTGGGACGCTGCGCTGGAACCACAACCGTCGCCAACGATTCTACCGTTGACCACAGAGCAGAAGCTCCTCACCCCAAACGCGTTGGTTGTCGATGATTCCGAGGTGAACCCGGAGGAAGATGATTCTAGCATGTCTGAAAGCGGGACAGATCTGAACTCCAGACCGCCGACCATCTGCACCGACACCGATGCTGTCCCATTGAAAATTGTCAGGCCTAGTTTGCCACCACCTACAAAGTAAATAAATGTTCTAGAAATATTCTCGTCATCTTCTTGTCTGCAGTCAGTTAGAATGCTTTTTATATAATAGCTCGTGAAAGCATGCGAATCCTTGTGGAAACTTTTTATGAATATATTGTGTGTGTAATACGAAGTATTTTGAAGTAGCGTTAACATCGTAATAAGATACTACGATCATGTTTATATTGGTAAAGCTTGAAACGAATCTGAAAATGTATACGGCATTCACAAGGTATTTATTGCAAACGTAAATGCAACCACAAAGTATTTCAACGATCATTAATCAATCCATAACATTGATAAATTACAATGTTTAATCGGCTCATCTTTAGAACTATTTATATGTCTGAAAAAAGCACCATTTATATGTATAAGTTTGACTGAATTTTGACTGAATACACATATATTGTCTGTATGAATCACTTGGAACTTACATATACACTTTTAGCCTGGTTTCAAATTTTACCAATATAACCATGACCGTATTGTTTTTATTACGTTTATCTTTTATTTTTTATTGTTAAATTTCATAAATCGTTCCAAGTAAACTGCTACCCGAATCATGTTAAATATATTCTATCTTATATACAATTATTAATCAAGATGTAGCTATCAGAAACTGTTTAATTATTCTCACAAGTCTTTTAATAATTACCTGCTAATTAATTTTTGTATCTGTTCAGGGTGGAACCACCATCGGTGCCGATACTTCCAGCAACGTCCAACAACTCCAACGCTGTTTTGTCCTTGTTCACGGGTAGATTGAGAACTAGCACAGTGATCACCATACTGATAGTAGTCCTAGCAGCTCTATATATGTCGGCGGCTTTGATGATGATTCGCATCGACAGGTTACATACGGCGTATCTCAACCATCCGTTTGTTTCGCCGGAACGTTTCACTCAGGATCGACTTTTGCATTACCTTAATACAAACATTGATCAAATAGTAAAGGTACGATTGCTTCACTATAGAAAAATGGATGAAGTTAATCCCATAAACAGATTGCGGATATATTTTTATGAATATAACTAAAATACTGGAATTTACAGTGGCTTTCGAAAGTATTTGAACACTAACCACAGGAAAATTGCATTTCATGTATACGCTTGTTATGTAAAATAGCTTGAAATTTCATTAACTTTATAATGTCTGTCACTGTTATTTTGATAAAATATTAATATTATGGGCGAAAATATTTTTAAAGGGAAATTTTTTTTTAAATCTGAATTGTAGGAAAGAACACATATTTAGCTTTAAAATTAAATTTACTAAGGCTATTTATCTATGTATCTATCTTCCCTGTAACTTTGACTTATCTTGTTCTTCCCCTTTAGTACCCATTCATGTAATTATCTAATGAAAAAATAGAACTGTAATAAATATTCATTATTTTAGGTACGACAGAGTCTACAGATGTTGTCGCAGCAGTTCGTGTCGATGAGCCAAAATAGAGAAACCGAGCCGAGCGTGTCCGGTGGCATGTTGGAACCGGAAGACGCTCCGAGTTAGCCCCCGACGAAGCTAAATAATTTAATGCAACCAAATAATATGAGTCCCCGTCGCCTCGCTAGCGTATGAAGCGTTTCGTATTAATTTATTATCGGCGTGCGAAAACGATCTCGATTCGATCAATTAATTAACGGTGTCGCTTCGACGGTCCTTAATAGGCAATTATTATCGTTAGACTATCTAGACTTACTTGGACAGGTTTCGGAGATAATAGGTTATTTAAAGTAAAAGAACAAAACAGACAAAAAGAAAGTAAATTATACACTGAAAATTTTTCAAACGCAGGGATCGCAACGATAGTAACGGTCCTTCTACACTTAGATTGGGAGAGCATGCGTAACTCGATTCTTAATTTTCAGTCACGCTTGCAGAATTTAAATAAGATGCTTAAAGGCTGTAACAAACGAAGTAAATATAAAATAGAAAAAATATAAGGAGCGTCGTATATACGATATACGTGTACGAGTGTGTACTAGACAATTATATGTACGACAAGATGATGCGAAATGAATTGATGAATATGGAGTAGAAGAAAAAAAGAAATATTTGAACACGCAACGCGAGCGAAGGGATTTTCGTTTTTGAAAACTAGTCACGTATTTATATATGCCCCACATACAACAAGAGTATAATGAACAAAAAAATGGAATATATATATAAATATAAATATTATAAAGAAGCTATATATATATATACACACATAAATACATGTATATATCTATATATATGTAAATATGATGTGTATATATACATATATATGATATATATATATATATACATATATATATATATATGCACACACACATACATAGAATAATGCATATTTCGCGATTACTTGTTGATATCGTATATCTGAGATAGTTGAGGCACTACCTTTTTAATCGATACAACTGGCAAAGAATTACATTATAGAATTAACAAAGTGGTTATGCATTTCTGTCGTACCGAAAGCAAGAATAATATATTGTATCGCTACAAGAAATACCAAGAACGAAAAAGTTTCTTAACAGACGAGCTTGTGCTGCAGTGTTCTGATCGTTCGGAATACACGCTATTTCGTCATCGAACATAGAATACTGCGCCTTTTAGACAAAAACAGTTAAAATGAAAAAAAAAGAAAAAGAAAATAAATGAGATACTGCATTTCCCACGCACACTGGTGTTCCTACGAAAAAAAAATTTTTTCCGGTCGTTTATTCGAGATGATAACGAAAGGGTAGTTTTCTTCGTTTCTCTGTCTTTTTTTATCTTTTTCGTTTGCTTTTTTTTTACTTGACTCCTTCGAGACGATTCTTGGTATGTGAAAGTGCTCGCGAAATATTCTATTCACTTATGAACATATTTCAATATCGTTGCACATGTTCTTCTATGTGTATGTAAAATAATGCGAAGAAACGTTCGAACAAAGTGTTGTTATAATTGCGGTTAAAATATGGGATACGAGAAACGGGAGATTTGACTGTGATAGTAGGATCGAGGATCGAATTTTGTTAAAACACGACCGCGTTTAGCAGATTCGTCGTGTTCGTCCCATCGAAACAAAAATGAAATAAATAAGTAAAACTAAAGTAAACGAGAGACTGGTTATTGCGATCGGACCAAAAAAAAAAAAAAAAAAAAAAAAAA